TAATTTTAGCATTTAAAAAAGGACAGAATGAAAAAACTCAAATCCTGTGCATTTTTTCATCTTCAGTCCAAAAAGCTCTTTCAATGAAAAAATGTTGCAACACAAAAGGATGTCAGCTGATCCATTTGGTGTCAGAACCTGAACAWCTAGAATTAGCTGTGATTCAGAACAAACGCCATGACAGCAGGTCAAAGTCCAAAAGACGAAACAGCAGATCTGGTGTTTAGTTAAGCTGTTTATTATTTTTATTCTATGTACACAAATATATTGCAYAGGTTAAAAAAAGATTGAGCACTCAAATCTATACAAACAATCCTGGTTTTGATCAAGCAAAACAAGAAAAAAAGAAAAAAAGAAAGCCACCGGAGAACTCTTCAATGAGGAATTCGTGTTTTGTGCGTTATTTTCTTTTGTGCGTATGAGCTGTTCAAGAATCTTACATTTTGTTATGTACACACCCATGAATATCAGCTTTACAAACTGATAAAATGACTTTGAGACTCAAGTTTTCCATCCTGCTGGGGACATGGTGCAGGACTGGACACTGCAGCGCAGAGATTTCATCAAACTGCTGATGTCAGGACTTCAGCAGATCGATTCAAACTTAAAACTACCTGCATGCTTCCTCCTTTTAGTTTCACCAACGTTACCCTTTAAGCTCTCAGTATTTTCCCACTTTTTTCTCCTCTRTATATGTTGAGATTTGACTCACATGAAAATCTGTGATGTATAAAATATAAGCCCTCTATCAACTAAAAAATAATTAACTCAGAGGTCCTACTGTTTCTTAAACACATAGCTGAAAAATCAGCTGCTGAAATAAAAAGAAACAGTGGAACATAAAAAAATTTCTGGTTTTGACTGCGAAGTGTAGGAAACTTTCCCAATTGAGCCTAAAAAATGCACAGCTGGGCTTCAGTGAGCTGCCTGCAGGAAGAGCAGTGGCAGGAAGTCAGGGGTGTCCACATCTCAAACATTTCTCCACGTCCAGCTTCCTCGTCAGCAGACGCTCTGGTGTTGTAGATGAGATGGGGGGTGGGGTTGGAGCGAGGAAGGTTTGGGTTGACGACCCCTCGTTGATGCTCAGACGCTGAAGCTTTCTCCACAGCCACACGTGCCTTTGATGTTAGGATTGTTGAAGACAAATTCACTGGACAGCTTCGACTCCACAAAGTCCATCTCAGTTCCCAGGAGGGTGAGCTGAGCCTTCTTCTCAATAAACACCCTGACACCTGAAAAACAAAAAAAAAAAACTGTCACTATTGTGGGTTTTAGTCTCAAGGGTTGCAAATGCTGGCGACTAGCTGTCTCCAAAATGTCTCAAAACGTGGCAGGGCTTCTCAGCAAAAAACACAAACAAAGACGCCCAAGAATTTCAGACCAATCACTCATTACCGTCGACACGGGAGGGGGGGTCAAAAGTTCTGCCGGGGGGTTGTGCCAAAAG